CAAGAACGCGATCCTGATCGTCGAGTTCGCCGTGCAGAGGCGCGACGAGGGCGTGAGTCTCGTGGACGCCGCGATCGAGGGCGGCAAGCTCCGCTTCCGTCCGATCCTGATGACCTCGTTCGCGTTTATCGCCGGTATGGCGCCGCTGATCCGCGCGACGGGCCCGGGCGCGATCGGCAACCGCACCATCGGCGCCACCGCGGTCGGCGGGATGCTGGTGGGCACCGTAGTTGGCGTCCTCTTGATCCCCGGCCTTTATTACATCTTCGCAAGGATGGCCGACGGCAAGAAGCTGCTGAAAGATGAGACCCACCAGCCATTGAGCGAACGCTTCGAGTTCGAAAGCCACTGACTCCCTAGAGCCGATGACATGCGCCGCTGCAGATGCCAAGGGACTAGTGTAATTAAGTCAATCCGTTTCGCGTGCCCGTCGTTGCTTAACACACTAGAGCCGATTTAGCAGAACCACCGGCGCAATCCATAAAGGGTCATCGCGCGGGCGGACGAATCAGATAGAGGCTGGAAGAATCACCGCGGCGCCCGCCTTCACTCGCCACGACTTCAGCCTCCTACCTACCTCCACGAACCAAGCGACAGGGGCCAAGCGACAGCATCCAGGCCACAGGGATCGCCCCAACCGCTTGGAGCATGCGTGCTACCAAGATACAAGCCGCCCTCAAGGACGAGGGCGAGCTAGCAACCTTCCGATGGCTCGGCGCCGACGGGCCGCTTGGCTGTCCGCGCCCGGGGTCGGAGCATCCCGGTTCTCCACGTCAGGGATCGACGAAATGAACCAACCGGCGAACCACCGCACCGTTCGGGCGCTCGCGGCGGTCCTAGCCTGCGGCCTCACGCTGTCACTGCCGGCATGCCGGCTCCCAAAGCTGTGCTGTGCGCAGAAGGGCGAGCCGCTGCCCGACACGTTCAACGGCGAGGTCAGCCTCGATAGCTCGGCACAGCTTGGCTGGCGCGAGTTCTTCGACGACCCAACGCTCAGCGGCCTGATCGATCAAGCGCTCGTCGGCAACCAAGAGCTCAAGATCCTCGCTCAGGATATCCGCATCGCCAACTTCGAGATCATGGCGCGGCAGGGCGAGTACCTGCCGTTCGTCAATCTCGGCGCCCGCGCCGGCCTCGAGAAGTCGAGCGTCTACTCGCGCGAAGGCGCCGTCGAGGAGAACCTGCTCGCCAACGGCAAGGCGTTCCCCGACCCGCTCCCCGAGTTCCTCGTGGCGGCGAATGTCTCTTGGGAAATCGACATCTGGCGTAAGTTGCGGTACGCCAAAGACGCCGCGGCGCTGCGCTACTTCGCGACGCGCGATGGCCAGAACTACGTCGTCACGCGGCTCGTGGCCGAGGTCGCCGAGAACTACTACGAGCTGCTTGCGCTCGACAATCGCATGATGGCCCTCGACAAGACGATCGAGATCCAGCAGCAGAGCCTCGACTTCTCGATCGCCAAGAAGGAGGCCGCCCGCGAGACCGAGCTCGCCGTCCAGCGGTTCGAGGCCGAGGTCCGCAAGAACCAGAGCGAGAAGCTGATCGTCCAACAGCAGATCACCGAGGCCGAGAACCGCATCAATTTCCTGTTGGGCCGCTATCCGCAGCCGGTTCCGCGGCAATCGGCGAGTTACATCGACCTCCAGCTGCACGCCTTAAGCACCGGCTTGCCGTCGCAGTTGCTACAGAACCGCGCCGACATCCGCCAGGCCGAGCGCGAGCTCGCCGCACGGGGGCTCGACGTCCGCGTCGCACGGGCACGGTTCTACCCCTCGCTCAGTCTCACAGCCGGCGTTGGCTATCAAGCCTTCAACACCAAGTACCTGTTCATCAGCCCTGAGTCGCTCATCTACAACGCGGCCGGAGAACTCGTCGGGCCGCTCATCAACCGCAAGGCGATCAAGGCCGATTACCTCAGCGCGAACGCCGCTCAGATCCAGGCCGTCTACGACTACCAGCTCACCGTTCTCGACGCCTACACCGAGGTCATCAACCTGATGAACAAGGTTGAGAACTACAGCCAGAGCATCGCGATCAAGAAGCAACAGCTCGCAGCGCTGGAATCCTCGGTCGATAACGCCACCAAGCTCTTCCAGAACGCCCGCGCCGAGTACATGGAGGTGCTGCTCGCACAACGCGACCTCATTGAGGCCCGGATGGTGCTGATCGAGACCAAGCAAGAGCAACTGTCGGCGGTCGTCAACGCGTACCAGGCGCTCGGCGGTGGGGCTTATGGCGGCTTTAGCTTCTTGGCGGACGCAACGAACCCCATGGGAGGGACCGAACTCATCGCCCCACCAGAGAACTTCCCGGGGGCGAACGAACCCCTTACGCAACCCGACAGCACAACGCCGCAGAGCCAACCGTTGCCAACATCGGACGGCGACGCTCCCGCCACGGACCTCCTGCCAGACCCCGACGCGATCCGCGATGGCTTGGACGCCGCGCCGACGCCGTCATCGGATGCGACGCCACAGGAAACCGGCTCCTTGCTCAAGCCCGATGGTCCGGCGCTCAACAGCCAAGGGAACTTCCTGAAATGGCCCTGGCAGAGCTGAGCCGCTCGGGCGCGCCTGTCACCAAACCCGAAGGTTGATCGCAAGCGATTCCTTGCCGGAAGGTTCGTCGTCCGTGGTATCAATAAGCATCGACGCCGATCCCGTGCCTTCCGCCTGTTGCGCGTCAACGACCGGCGCCACGGCATAAAGCAGCTCGAGCGCCCGATCGTAGTCGTGCGCGATCGATGCCTGCCGTGGCACGGCACGGCGGACAGGCGCCGACGACGACGCGACCACTGTTGACGCCTGGATCAACTGCGGAGCAGGGGAGGGGGCCACGTCCTGATTGGTTGCCGACGCCTCTGCCGACGACATCTCCGCTAAATCGATAGGCGACTCGGCAGCGGACTCCCAGACGAGCTCGCGCGACGGTTCAATTGCTGACTCGGGGAAGTCGCGGACAACCACTACGGGCGCCGGCGACTGATGGCCAAGGTTGTCGCGCCAGACCGTGTAGTCGGCGGCGTTCACCAAGCCGTCGCTGTTGGCGTCGCCGTCGGCCTTCGTGACACCGCTTGCCTTTCCGTAGTGAGCGCGCCAGATGTCGTAGTCCGACTGATTGACGAGGCCGTCTTCGTTGAAGTCAGCGGCGTGGTAGGGCACAAAAGCGCTGCCGGGATTGGGCGTCTTGGCCGTCCATGAAGCGACGGCGTCGCCGAACGCCACCGCTTCGCCGCGTGTCAGAGACGCCCCACCGCCATCGGCGCCGGTCGGCCATGGGACCGTCGCGGTGTACGTCACACGATCGACCAGGTAGTAGCCCGGCTCGGTCTCACCGGACGGCGGAGCGGTCGGCGCCTGCAGTTCGATCTCTTCTCCACGGTCGTCGAGGCCGCCCGAAAACGCCCCCACCAATCGCACGCCGGAGTCGATGCCGTAGTAGACGCGGAAGGCGTTGGCGAGCGTGGCACTGGTCGGATTGAAACTGACAACGACAACCGTCTCGCCCGCAGCGATGCTCGTCGCCGAGGGGAACACATAATCGACGCCGCCGCTCAACCGCCATCCGGTTAGGCTGACCGCCGCCGTCGTCGCGTTGTGAAGCTCGATGAACTCCAGTTGCGACTCGCTGATCCCTGCGCCGGGTCCGGTGGGGTGGTACTGGACTTCACTGATGACGACCCCAGCCTGCATCGGCGCACCATTGGGGCTGCCGATCGAAGGCGTCGCCAGCGGGAAGAGGCCGTAGTTCGTCTCGCCATCGGGCGTTCGACCGAGCGACACACCCGTCAGCGTCGCGTCGAACGACACGTCGTCTGCAAAGCGCACCGGCTTGCCGTCGGGCGCCGACGCCACGAGGTAAACGTCGTCTCCGCCGGCGCCGATCGCAAAGTCGTTGGCGTTCGCACCGCCGCCCGCGTTGAATTGCGATTCGTCAAAGACAATCAGCCCGCCGGCAGCCAGGATCGTCCCGGAAGGGATCTGGTACTTCAGCAAGTTGGTCCCTTGATCCGACAGCCACCAGCCCGAGATGTCGATCGCGGCGCCCGTCGTGTTGATCAGCTCGATCGCATCGCCGTTGGACGCTACCGGGTTGGCGAGCACCTCGTTCACCACGACGTCGATGGTCGTGACCGGCGCCGCCGCCGGTGTACCGTTGACGGAGCGGCTCGCACGCCAGTTGCGGGCGTCTTCGTAATCGCCTTCGGTGTCGATCACCTCAAGCGACGAGCCGTCGCCATCGGTGCGCTTGTACCAATCGTCGCTGTACTCGAACTGCTGGATCACCGTCAGGTCGCTCGCCAGCACGATCAGCTCTTCGCCGCCGTTGCTCAACGCGCCGGACCACTCGCCAGCGATCGGTAGCCCGTCGCCGTAGCGTGACTCGAAGTTGCCCTGGTCTTCGAGTACCAGGACCCGCTGTCCCGGCGCCAAGATCGTGCCGTTGGGGAAGACGAACGTCACGCCGCCGGCGATCTGCACGTTGCTGAGGTCGATCTCGTCGGTCGTGCTCGTGTTGATGAACTCGATGAACTCGAACTCCTCGCCATCAACCACGTCTTCACCGAACTGCGGCATGCCTGCCGTGGGGTTGTAGTGCAGCTCGGTGATACGCAGGTGGTCCTTCGTCAGCTCCAGGTTGTTTGCGACCGAAGGGGTGAACTCGATCGGATCGGACCAGTGGCTCCAGCGGCCAGTCGAGTCCTGGAACCGCACCCGCGCGCGGTGCAGCTCTCCCGGCTTAACGGCCGATGCCGGTGGATCGATCGTCGCATCGAAGGTCGACAGCGGGCCCGACTCCCAACTCGCGGTCCATTCGTCGAGGAACTTGACGCTCGTGTCGTAGCCGGCAGACGAAGGCGTGACCTCGGAGACCCGCCATTCAATGGCGCCGAAAGTGTTGTTCCCTTGGGGATCGGTAAAGGCCGTTGTCTGGAACGATAGTTCGTTCGCCGCCATCCCTTGATCACCGACGTAGCTGATCGTCGGCTTGTTGGGGATCAGCGCCTCTTCACCCGAGGCGTTGAGCAAACCGTCCAGGTAAGCCGCCCGCCCGCCGGGGCCTACCCCGCCGCCCGGTCCCGCGCCGCCGCCGGGCCAGTTGCCGCCCGTAAAGGCGAAGTCGAGCATGTCCTGCACGAGGTTTGTGATCGACGTCGCTCCAGCGCCGCCGAGACCCGCGTAGCTACCAGACTCGTTCTCACTAACGTTCTGCCACCGCGCCCGGTCCGCCGCCTCGAGCGGCAGGATGGTCGAGGCGAGCTCGGTGATCATCGCCACGATCTGGTCGGGCTGCCAGATTAGGTCGCGCAATTCGCGGAGTGTATTGTAGTACTCTGGCTTTAGCAGGCTGTCGCGATAGGCATCGTTGTTATTCTCAAACAGGGCGTCGTAGACGACGTCTTTGCCCTCGTTCCACGTCGGCCCCCAGGTAGCGTCGGTGTCCCACAGCATCAGCCAAAGCTTGCCGAGGTTGTCGTTCTCCGCCAGGTAATCGGGCTCGAAGTAGTACACCATGTTCTTATTGGAGTCGGGCCAATAGTCATAGTGACGGACCGCTTCGACGAGCGCGTGGAAAATAAAGTACTTCTCGAGGTTGACCCGGTACTCGATGTCCGTGCTTGCGCGCGACAGGACGTACTCGATGTAATCANNATTGGTAATCCTGCTGGCGTAGGGCGTCTTGCGATTGGTTGATGAGCTTGTAGAGGTTGCCCGCCTCGAGGTCGTGCGCGTCGAGGAACCGTTTGTCATAGTCCTCGAGGGCGAAGTTGATCCCCCAGAAGTCGCCGTTCCATTGGTCCGGCGCCTCGGCGGCGTCATCGATCACGCGGAATTGGAACCAATGCGTGTCCACGGCCGGCACGCCCATCATGTTCGACAGCATCATCGTCATCGCCTCGTTGAGCGAGTACGTCAGCGTCGAATGGTTGTCGAAGCCCTTGCCGGTGGTCAGCGTCTTCCATTGCTCGGGGTAAGGCACGCCCTCTTGGTCGAGCGGCTCGAACCAATGGCCGTCGTTGAAGCGGAAACGCATGCTCCGCTTGCCCT